GGCGTTCCAACTCTTTTCCCCATTTATAAACTCTGTTCCGCTGCTAGGGTCTCCTCTTGAGCTCTTTCAATAACCTTGGCTCAGTTTATGACTTCTTACAAACTAGGCAAGTTCAAAGCCAACATCATCTCTTTCAACTTTGGCCTCAAACCTTCAATGAACCAATCACGTTAAGCCTTGTCATTGGGACTACCTCTGTAGCAAAACGGCTTAGCTTATTATACTCAACCTCAAACTCATGTACAACTTGACCACCTTATTTCAAATTAAGGAACTTTAGCAACATTGCCCGTTTAAACTGCTCACCCACATACTTGTTCTTGAATTCCTGTAGGAAGAACTGTTAGGTCACTTGTTCCGGTGGTGCATATATCGTAGTATTTGACCACCATACTTGAGTTGATCCTCTAAGTAAAGATATAACTCCACCCAAATTTTCTGAATCCGAGTAGTGAATACTTTTAAGCATTACCATAACATCATTTAACCATAAGTCAGCCTCTATAGGACCCTCATCCTCTTCTCTCCAAAACTCTGGAGCTCCCAAACTCTTCAGCTCTTTTGGGATCAGCATCCTCGATGCTGGAGGAGCAGAGGGAGGTGGAGGAAGTTGAAATCGGGTTAATATGGCGTTGAAAGCTTCCATAAAAGCTCCAAACTCAGGCACCGACATCCCGTGTGTGCAGGTGCACTAGCATTTTCAGATGGAATCGACTGTTCACTATTAGCCTCGTAACTTTCACTATCAGTTCCTTCTCTAATTTCTTGTTCCCCCGCTTTTCGTGAGTTCGAAAATTCCGACATCTATTACCACATACATAATAATAAGCTTGACAATATTAATGACATCTATTACCTCCGACATCTAATGACACCATATCAATAAGCTTGACAATATTAATGTCATGTAATCTCTTTTTCTAATTTCAAATAAAACTGGTTTCGGCCAAGAATCGGCTAAACCTGTAGCTCTGATACCAATAAATATAACACCCATTTCCCATATATGTTTTCGTACACAAGTCATAGGTGACACATGACTTTTAAAAAACATCCACTCATTTATAAAACCCATAAAATTTTGTTTCAAAATTAAAACAAAACATTTTAGTACAAAAATAAAACATTCGTTGAAACATATTACCAAAAATTATCACTTTAAATACATTCCATAGCATTTTTTTTAAAGTCGATTACATGCCAACAAATTTTCAAAATAAATATGATTGTCCTGCTGTTACTGATGAGAGTCAACCTTAGATTGATGATAGTTGCTATGGCACCCCTTACTTAGCTAGTCTTTGTTTTTACCTACGCGTGAAATCAACACACGTTAAGTATTTACTTAGTGAGACATAATATTGTAAAGAAATTGCAATTTATACGTAAGTATATCATGGCTATTTAATTGCGAACTAAATCACATACTCCATAAGGATCAGATAAATCCGTCTCAGTTAAACCAAATTTCTTTCATACAAACATCGAAATTATTCTTAGTATGCCTAACATACTTATCTTTTTGTATATTCTTCCCAATTATTCTTTATTTGCCCTATGTATGTTAAATGAGAAAGTAATGTACATGTATTGCACCGAAGTGCCAAAGTGGTCATTCATCATTTATAAATACCATGACTGGCACCTTTTATGTCGTTAATACACCGTTATGCATATTCATTTGTGGCATCCTTTCATGCCGAGAATGCACCGTTATGCATTTTCATTTGTGGCATCCTTTCATGCCGATAATGCACCGTTATGCATTTTCATTTGTGGCATCCTTTCATGCCGATAATGCACCGTTATGCATTTTCACTTGTGGCATCTTTTCATGTCATAATACACCATTATGCATTTTCATTTGTTCATTTATTTTAGAGCAGATCATACTCTAAAACTTATTCATAATATCATTTCCATACACATAATGAAAGTATATTAAATACTGTAAAACATACATTAAATCAAAAGATTCTAAGTTGACTCATTGCGAGTGTTCCTCATCTCATATAAATACAATAAATGCACTCACCTGATAAGTCTCGCTAATAAGCTATAATGATGTCCGGCTATTTGGTAACTTTATCTTTTCCCTTTTCCTTGCTAGACTCAGGAGGTTGGTTATGATCTACACAATCATCCATTAAAGACACATATCATACCAATGTTAGTATATTCCCTAACATTTATACCTTAATAATACTCAAAAGTACTATTATTTTCAATTTCTATTACAATTTTAGCCTATCTTACAATTTCAGGCTCAATAGTATCGGTACCCCTACCATGGTATCGATACTTCTATACTATGGTACCAATACTCCCTTTCAGTATCGATACCATTTCTATATTCTAGAATCCATGGTATCGATACCTTTCTCTAGTATTGATAATGACATCAGTATCGATACTAATTGCATCAGTATCGATATTATTCATCGTAATTCTTCAAAATTTAAACCTATAGTATTGATACTGTTCTTCCAGTATCGATACGCTAACCCATATTTTTCATTTTCTAGCTCGATTTTTACCCAAATTTCATCAAATTCCTTTACTTTTACCTCAAACAATACCCTTAAACTTAACATCACTTGACCCAACTAATTTTCCTCCATTTAGCTTCTCATAACATCTAATTTCTCCAAAGAACATCCCAAACCAAGATTCATACTACATTTTTCATACATATTTTTAATCACATCCAAGGCTTCTAATCTCTTATTTACTTCTTTTACAAGTCAATTATTCTAGTAAACCTCAATAAAAACTCATATTTCAACATATCATTCAAAAACCCATTTTCTTCAATCTCAAATTTAATCCTATTTAACCATTCCATAAGCCTCTATAACACTCAAGGTTTCAAGAACCATCCCAAAATGAAAGGAAAAGCTAGTTAGATGAAGTCTTACAATTGTGATAGTACATATAAAACAGGCTAAAAGGAAAAGAATAATACAACACCTATTTAAAATTAAGTAACATATATTCTTTATTTTTAATTAAATCAAATCATAGGAATGATTTATCACCTACTCCTTATTAAATGCCGAGAGAAACTACAAGGAAAAGGATATAAATTGGAGCTGACCCAGGGAATCTACAGCTAAAGTGAGAATAAAATAGCTTTTTTTTTTTGAAAATGAGAATAAAATTGCTTTATAAAGTGTTGAAACAGAACAAAATATATAAAAGTTTGGAACTCAAATGGTTAATGGTCTTGATTGTGTGCGGGGCTAAATGAGTTTAGTTCACGGAATATAAGATTATTTTAAAAATAATATTATTAGAATATAACATTACTATAAGAATACTATATTATATTGTTAGAATGATGAGTAAGAATATAAAATTATACTGTTTGGTTAGATAATTATAAAATTATTTTTAATGTATATTTTTCTTAATTATCTTTGTTATATATTTTTAAAAAAAGTTAAATATTAATACTAAATTATAAATATTTGAATGAAAATTCAAAGAAATGTTTTAATTCGATATACTATCTAACTTTTGAGAAAAAATACATTTAATATATAATTAGTATTTCAAAATTATATTTTTAAATAATTTCCATAAATATCATATTTATTTATATAAAATTTAATATAATATAAAAAGTGATAAAGTGATACTATGCGTTTGGACAAATATTTTATTTTCAATGTATAAGATATATTTTTAATATTAAAGTTATATATTATTGTATTTTTTATTGTAATATTACTTTTCACCTCATAAAATTATAAATAATTAATATATTGAATATTAAAAATATAAAATAATTTTAAATACTCAAATTTATTAATATTTCACTAAATTAAACTCTTTACATATTATTATTATGTTTATAATTTTGAGTAAAGTACAAAAAATGATCATCATAAAAAGAATTTATTAGTTTACGAGTATTATTGTTCAAGTGGTGAAAATTGTCTAATACCAAAGAATTTGGAGGTAATGACATCCCCATCATTTAATGCGACTACTTTCGTGAATCATACGTGGGAATGCAATTACGAAAAAGATTATTTCCCTTGGTAATGATATTTTCGTGAACCAAACGCCACTTATGATATGATTGGATAGTTTAAAAGAATGGTAAATTATAAATTTTATCACTCAACTTTCTTTTTTCTCCTATTTTGGTCAATAAAGCTTAAAATAGTTCAATTTACTCATTATAATTTCAATTTGCTCCTATTTTGATCATTCATGTGTTAAATCTTAAACATGATGATGACAAGACATCCACATGTATTGATGTTGACTATTTTTTATTAACATGAAATTTGTGTCATCCACGTTATTTTTTCTTTTATTTTATTTCCTTTATCCAAATATGAAAGTTTTACAACTTCATCTATGTCTCACATCGGTGTTGCAGTTATCATCTTCCGATATTTTTTTCGAGCACTCAAGATACTTAAAAACTCATCTTATTGTCTCCTACCACCGAACCAGTTTAAATTTTACCTAAATCACTTTAAAACTCATAAAACTCAATCACGAACTCAAAACTCATTAAATTCTAAACCGCTATGATATATATCAACCATCCGATCAGTGTGAGATTAAGATATACAACTCGCTTCCCTTTTCTTTCCTCCACACCACTGAAATTTCAAAGAACATGTTTTGTGATCGAGAAATGAAAGGAAATTTGAAACTATTAATGTCATATAAATAAATTGAGACCATTTGAGAATTTTTAAAAGAAAAACTTTCTTTCACAATACTTATAAATTTCAACGGTAAAGTGATCCAAATGAGAATAAATTGAAAATTCAATAAATAAATTAAATATTTAAACTTTATCAGTTAAAATAAGAAGGACAAGAAAGTTGAGTGATAATTTATAATCCACCCTTAAAAGAACGCACTTATAGACATACTTTTTACCCTATCATGACGTTAGGATTAGCTCAATCGTACGTTTTGGTGTCTATAAGAATAGCTTAGCATATTACAGTTGAACATATAGTGCACAAAAGCACAAGGAGTTGAAGTGAAAAGAATGGCATTTCCAAGTCTTCCACTACTTGTACTACTTGTTGCAGCTTCCTCTGCAACTGCAATATCTGTTCAACAAAACTTCATCCAATGCTTAGATGCCAATTCTGATCATCCCATTCCCATCTCTGCTATTTGCTCCCAAACCAACTCTTCGTTCACTTCTCTCCTCAACTCCACCGCACAGAACCTCCGGTACTTGTCGCCTGCGGTGCCGAAACCCGAATTCATCTTCGTCCCTTTATACGAGTCCCATGTCCAAGCCGCTGTTATTTGTGCACAAAAGCTTGCATTTCACCTGAGATTCCGCAGCGGAGGCCATGACTATGAGGGCTTGTCTTATGCATCCGAAATCGAGACGCCTTTCATCTTGTTAGATCTCGGGAAGCTTCGATCGGTTAATGTCGATATCGATGACAACAGTGCTTGGGTGCAGGCTGGTGCCACGGTGGGTGAAGTTTATTATAGGATCTCTGAGAAAAGCAAGGCTCATGGATTCCCTGCTGGTCTATGTTCAAGTTTAGGCATAGGTGGACACATAACAGGGGGTGCATATGGTTCCATGATGAGGAAGTATGGTCTCGGTGCTGATAATGTCCTCGATGCCCGAATCGTCGATGTTAATGGCAAAATTCTCGACCGAGCATCGATGGGAGAAGATCTTTTTTGGGCAATCAGAGGAGGCGGAGGAGCAAGCTTTGGGATCATCCTCGCGTGGAAGATAAAGCTTGTTCCGGTTCCGGAAACCGTGACTGTTTTCACCGTGCTCAAAACCTTGGAACAAGGTGCCACAAAGACCCTCTATAGATGGCAACAAGTTGCAGATAAGCTTGTTGAAGATCTTTTCATCAGAGTCATGATTCAAGTGACAAAAGCAGGCCAGAAAGGTGAGAGAACAATCACAACATCCTACAATGCCCTGTTTCTCGGAGACGCCGAGACGCTCCTCCGAGTAATGAACGAAAGCTTCCCGGAGTTGGGATTGACGCGTAAAGACTGCATCGAAACGAGCTGGATAAAATCCGTGCTCTACATAGCCGGTTTCCCTAGTGAAACACCTCCGGAAGTACTACTACAAGGAAAGTCATTATTCAAAAACTACTTCAAAGCCAAATCCGATTTCGTGCAACAACCGATCCCCGAAACCGGCCTCGAAGGCCTATGGGAAAGGTTGTTGAAAGAAGACTCCCCGTTGATGATATGGAACCCGTACGGAGGAATGATGGCGAACATTTCGGAATCCGAAATTCCGTTCCCTCACAGGAAAGGTAACTTGTTCAAAATCCAGTACGTGACGTCATGGTACGACGGAAGTGACGAGGACAAGATAAAGCACATGGATTGGATCAGGGGGCTGTATGATTACATGAGTGCTTATGTTCCTACATCTCCAAGGGCAGCATATGTGAATTACAGGGACCTCGACTTGGGAATGAACCGCAACAAGAGCGGCAGCTTGGCCGAGGCCAGTGCTTGGGGAGACCGGTACTTCAAGGGGAATTTCCGAAGATTGGTGCAAGTGAAGAGCAAGGCTGATCCGGACAATTTTTTCAGGCACGAGCAGAGCATCCCGGTTGTGCTTGAGCAGGGCCAGGGTTAGATCGGATAGATTGTCCTTGTTCAGTTCTTTGCCGATTCCAAGAAAGTAAATTAATAGGCTTGTATTGTCTGTCCTTCGCTTTAATTTTATTAAAGTTTTGTTCTACGTGTTTCTGAATCCTATCTTTGTTTCCTCCACTAACAAGCCAGGCCCCTCATAGATTGTTAATAAATATTTTTGGACTGCTTTTCAAATGAAACGGGATTAGGGGTGTGATGGTTGTGAAAGGGATTTGACTTTTTGTCTGGCAAATTCAGGCCTAAAGTCACTCGTCAATTTCTATTCAACCTTTTTTTATGGATTTAGTTGAGTAGATAATCACTCACGTGGTAACAGAACATTTTATGTTTCAGAGAAAAAATAGATTATAAATTATTATAACATCAAACAATTATCGACAGACAAACAAACAGACTTAAAAAAACCAAGATTTATGCAAAAAATCAAAAGGAAAAAAATCACATGTAAATGTGAAGAATTTTATTAATATGAAGAAGAAAATACAAAAGAATATTAAAGAAAGAAAAATTTATATTTAACTCTTACTCTTAGAATCTATTTATAAGGATAGATATTTGATTAAAAAAATAAAATAAAGTGAAAATATACTTTATAAAAAGCTACTTTAATAAAAAGTTTTCTACTTTTTAATTAAACTAGATTTAATACTTTCCTAATTAAATTATGTCATTTTGAATCCGAGTCAAACTTTAACAAATCTCTAAATTAATACAAATTCTGAAAATGTGAAGGATTTGAGAAAAAATAATCAAATTCGATGAGGCACCCAAACTCAACAAAAATAATTCTTCACTTCAATGAACAAGTTCTTCACCTCTTCCACAACACCATTCTAAAGCCCCGTTTGGTTCATAGATTTAAACATTCCTGGGAGGAATCCTTTTTTCTAGGTTAAGATACCCACGTTTGGATGATTATTATTCCTGAGCGATGGTAAATTTGAATACCAACAATGTCTTTTTTCCCTGTTTTACTAGGAATATTAATCCCCCATATCCCTTTGGTATTTATTGATTCCTGTCCTTTGTTGGCTAAAATACCCCTTCCCGTTTGCTTGCTTCGGCTGAAAATATTCTTCTTCCTCGATTTGGCGATAGTTGTTGCGAGGAGCTGTCTCTTGCTCCAACGGACTTTGTTTATGTGTTGTTGTATCTGCTAATCTCTTTTCAGGTTCGTCTCTCCCTATTTGAGAACTGTTTTTCCCTCTGTTCATTTAAATGAATGATTTTGGATTTAAAAACTGGATTTTTTCTCTGTTCCTGGAAAGGAACTATTTTGGACTAAGATTTCTCTCTTCTAAAATTTAAAACTATAGTTTAAGCTGATGGGATTTCGATTCTCAGAGTTTTGTTTTTTTGAAGTCTGAACTAATTGCAAATCAGATATAGTTTCAAGTACTAGATGCATTGCGTACTGTACTGGTTGAAATTTGGAATCGTTAACACTTTGAATCCTATTTTCCCCTTTTTATTTCACCTTTCCCGGGTCTCCTCTGGAGGTTTGAGAGGTTTCAGATTGCTAATTTGACTTATAAGAAATTAAAGTGGTTGAAGAGTAGTCTTAAAACTCTTGATCAGACCGAGTATAATAATATTTCTAAGAAAGTTAAAAGGAAAAGAGAGGAGTTGGAGAGGTTTCAGATTGCTAATTTGACTTCTAGTAGGGCTGGTTGTAATATTGATGATGAGATTAAGGCCTAGAATGAGTTATGTGCTTTAGAGGAGGCTGAGATACTCTTTTATAAGCAAAAGTTAGGTTATTGGTTCGTCCTCTCCATACTTGGTCTAGTATTCACCATGGGACTTTTTTTTGGCTCAGAAACTGAATAGAGCCCTTATAAACTTCATCTGGATTAGTGCGTTCCCGAGCACCTTTGTGGAGTTTCAAGCCCCCGGGGACTTTGATCATTGCCCAACCTTGGTCTACATGTCTAAGTAATCCCTTATTAATAAACCTAAGCCCTTTAAGTTTATGTTAAACTCTTGATTAATGTTAATAGTTACTCCAAAGAGCTTTCTGCAACGCTATCATGTTAATAGTTATGTGGTGTTAGATTCTATACATTTTCATATCTAGAGATGAACATCAACCGCTCTACTCAAGCATCATGTGCATCAAGAACGCAAGTCACAACTATAGGCCGCTCAAATAATTGGTAATGTCCACTATTCCATATGAGGTTATATTGAACAATTAAGAGATGAATGATCAAGGGCTAAGTAGAAAAAGGTAATAGGAAAATTTTAGGGCATGCAAAATTTACAAAGTCGACTTCTTAGTTCCTGGGATGAATTAAATGTCAGCCTTTTGTACTTTGCCAGTTTAGTATATACTGTCATTCAACCCCTCAGCTATTACATGTTCCAGCTGGAGCATCTTTTCCCTTGCCGACTGCATTAAGTTAGGATAATAACATGTGTTAATCCAGATAGAAAACATTCAGTTCTAAATTAATCATAAAAAGATAAAAATAAAAATCAGTTCAAATTATAACTAAGGATTTATTAATATAAGCGGGGCGTATATGCTATCTTACGCATGAGGACTGACATAAAGTGTAGCAGTATCAACTAAAAGATCATAGTATAAACTCTTATCAATTATACTAGGCTTCTTATTTTATCAGTACGATACAATAAGCATATATAACAGCGTAGATTTGGAGCCCAAATAACTTTACCAACTAGTGGCTCCCAAGTAATGAACATTTGGTAAGTGATTTTCTATAATTTTCAGCTTATGTTAAACTCTTGATTTATGTTTTTAATTGCTTTAGAACTGTTAAATTAGTTTTCATTTATTTTTATTGTGATGACACACATCCAGGTATATGTCAAGCTTTTGACTTGGAGAATTTTTGTGTATATAAAATAGCCAACATATATTATTAAGTTTAGAATTTATGGCTATTATCTTTGTAAGT